GAGAACAACTTTATACGGATGCAAGCCAAACTCCTTTCTCAAAATCCGCCAGGTTGTGGTTTGAGACAGTCCCAATTCTTGGAAACGTCTTGGAACCCTCCAAAATATCTTCACCAATAAACATATGTTTCCAATTGCGTTGCAGGGATGCCAACTGCTGCTTATCATAAATGCAGGAAAAGAAAAAAAAACAGGAAAATTTATACGTATTTATTTTGTGTGCAATATATTTTGGACCGATCAGGTGATTCAAATAAGCGAAAAAATCAATTAATTAAAAACATAATATTAGCTTACGGTTGGTGGTAAAATTTAAATTTTAGCTATGTCTGTCATGTGTGATCGGCAATTAGGAAATTGTACCAATATTCGGTACATGTTTGAGTTTTGACAAAATTATTCATCTGATCTTCAACCCGAACATGAGTTACATACATATGTATGTATAACAAGTAAAGAAGTTCTAAGTTCGGATGGGTGTAACCGAACATTTTATAATCTCGCAACTTGCAAGGATCAAAGCCGGGAAATTACTTCATGTGTTGGCAAAATTTTATATTAAAGGAAGTATTGATTCGATTCAACCCATTTTTGACCCAAAACATACTATTATCGAGGGTTTTATTTATTTCTTTTATTATATTATAATATTATCCTTCACATTGACCGATATTTTCGGTAGAAGGGCAACAATAGACACTGGGGTCCACATATTCTGTACCTAGGGGCGTGAACAGTTTTGGTTCGATTTACACAATTTTTAATCACAAGGTGGCATACTTTAAACACATTATTCACGCAAAGTTTTACCCCGATACAATCATTGTTGCTTTGATTTGCATAGGGAAAATGAAAGAATCAAATGAAATTTATAATGGTGTCATATGGGAAATAGGCGAGGTTGTAATCGGATTTCGCCTATTTTCGCACTATAACATAGTAGAAATATGAGAAGAATGTTATGTACCAAATTTAGTTGAAATCGGTTAAGCAGATCCCAAGATATGGGTTTGGTCTGCGGATGACGGTAAAGTCAAAGTCGGTAAAGACGGTGTCTTTAAGAAATGACGATAGGATGATTATAAGGGGGGGGGTCTAAAATCTGAAAAAATCGATGACGTAATTTATGGACGGCCCCAAACTCAGATTTACGTCAGCAAAAAGTTCAATTGCTTACCCAAACTGGTAAAATATTTAGTTGATTTAGACCTCCGTCTTTGTGCTCTTACAGTCGGTATATACCTCCATACCATATATTAAGCAAAAAACATATGTTATTATTATATACACTTTATGGTGTTTCTTAAAAAATAAAAGTACAATAATAAACAAATTTGTGAAGATATCTTGTCAAAAAAGTTTTTCATACAAGAATCCTTTTTATACTCTTGCAACATGTTGCTAAAGAGTATAATAGTTTTGTTCACCTAACGGTTGTTTGTATCACCCGAAACTAATTGAGTAAAAAAAAGTTGTATATGTACGTATATAAATGATCAGGATGAAGGGACGAGTTGAAATCCGGGTGAATGTCCGTCCGTCCGTCTGTGCAAGAATTTTCCGTCACACCCGAACTTAGGCATTCCTTACTTGTTGATCGTTCTGTTTGTATGGGGACTAGTTCGTGTGTACACAGACAGGCGGGCAACCAAATGTCGAGTCAGCTCGTCGCAATATACATATCTTATAGGGTCTCCGACGTTTCTTTCTTTGTGTTACAAACTCTGTGGCAAACTAAATATACCAACAGGGTAGATATCTTGATAAAATTTGGTACAAGGGTTTCTGGACACTATAAGAAGATAGGAATTGAATTGCGCGGAATCAGACCATTATCACGCCCACAAAGTACCTGCAATCAAAAAACTATAAAAAAGATATAACTAATCCACAAATAAAACAAAAAACTGTAATTTGTAACTTGGCAATGAAGCATGAAGAGCATGTATGATTCAAAATGTTTTAAGGAATGGACGCGATTGCCCTTAATACGTTTAGTGTACATATCTCGGAAACCACTAAAATAAATCATGCTGTGAACAAGTCTTTCAAGCTCCTCATCACACACTGGGTAAGCGTAATCAAATGTTAATCATTTATTTTGAATTTGTGAAATTAATGAAACTCTAAGTGCATCCTTTTCTGTTAGTAATATACAAAATATGGTTAAAATTGGGTAAATTCTACACTAGAGCTAGGTACACCTTATATAAAAATTGGCTTTCTATTCTATATATCAGTTAATATTTAGATAACTTACCAAAATTGGGTAAGCTCATAATATTGAATATACTATAATTCAATGCCAAAATGTGTGAAATCAGTTTACGAACTACCCAGGTTACCCTTCCAGCTGACTTTATACCCGATATATTGATTTCTGTATGATATTTTAATGAAATCTCTCAAACATAATGCGGTTTACCGCCAGTAGATAGGAGGGAGGGCATAGGGCAACGTATTTCTTCAATTTCCATTATATGGCATAAGGTTAGGCAAAATGTCGAAAATCACTATATTGGGTATATGGAGGTTAGGGTAAGTACCGAACCATCCATTTTACTGCCAGACCACATTATTATTAGACAAATATGTTCTTAAGATGTTTTACAAACTCACAAACTGGCCGATATTTTCTATGGGGGCTAGAAAAATTATAGTCCGATTTCTACAATTTTTATACTTTCGCAATACGTTCGAACAGATTATAATATTCTGTTCACTTGACGCTTATTTCTAACACCTAAAACTAAGCGAGAAATGGTGTCGACGATAACTTAAGGAAAAAAGGAATTTGCTATTTCAGAAAAGCGGAATAGAACCATTGCCAAGCCAACGAAGTAGCACTAGGCGAAAAAGGGCTATAAATAAGATACAAAACTGTAATTTTTTATTAATATCAGAGCAAAATTCCACATCCCAGAAAGTAATTGACCACTTTCAATTAAATTTGGTTCAACACATTATTATGATAATCTTTTATTATACTGTCAAAATCAGACTACAACCACACCATCTTTCTATGTATTGAATACCGACAATTCAGAACATCACTATGTATCAACTATTGCTTTTAATAGAACCATTTCATATTAAACTTTTCAGTCATTTTGGTATTCACCGCTTTATTCTGCTATTATTATCTCAAGCTAAATAAGTCAGAATAAGGCAAAAGGCTTCAAAAGTTTGATATGGTGTTTTACATAGTTTATGAAATAATGAATAACAATGGTTCGATCAAATTAACTTCTGGAAATTTAGCCGATTAATGATAATCGGTTGTTGAATCTTACCCTTCGTACTTTACCTTTTCTAGGTACAGTAGATTGGATATACGAAAGTTTGGCTATGAAAATATTTAATGTGGTAACAATTATAGCGCCTTTTGTTAAACAACAAAATCGAAATACATAAAAATACATAAATAATCAACGGGTAACGGTTATTTAAATGATACCGAATAATTATTCATGTATGTGCATATTTCGATTCTCGTTCAACTAACATTTAATTACCATACATTTTTCGCTTATCAACTATATTGCCAATATTGCCGAATCGATAAACATTATCGCGAATTGCAATTTGTATATGACCACTTCTATTGGCGCATTTGTAATAATTTGGCATATGAATTTTCGGTTATTTATAGCAAATGCGCATAATAAAATGGGAACGAAACGTCTCTTCCTCGAAAAAGCCGACAATGTATTTGTGCTACTTTATACTATACTATGTTTGGAACCAAAAAAATTCGTACTGTCCCAAATCTTATAATATGGTACATGGGGCAGTACCTCGTACCTTAATTCGATGTTCGATTGGTCAATTTCTCTTTACAATAGTGGTTAAGTGCTTAAAAAAAAAAAGGAGAATGGCTAGTTTACTACCAAACATTTAATAACAATTTCCAAAATTTCTACAATATCATCAGTTGTAGCGGATTTTTCGATTTATGTTTGACGAATTAAAATGAAATATCACATAGCTGACCGATATATGCGGAAAAATTAACCAGAGCGAGAAAAATCTATAATTCTATGGTTTGAGATTTAATATCAGCCATTTTAGGTGCAAAAATGTACTCCACATATATTTTCTATCCTATGACGAAGGAGCCGGAGTAGGACTTTTCCATTTATTTCGATTCTGGTGGTGGTGATATCGACTGCAGCATCCAGATCTGCTGTCACGTCATATTTAAGGTTGACAATTGGACGGTAGAGGCCATATATTAAATTTTTCGTCCCTGGTCCATCTTGCGTGATTTGAATATTTATTAAAATATAAATATGGTCTATAACTTTATTCCTGCATTTTGCAATGTTTTCAATATAACATTTTCGCATCTTTCTGGCAATTTGCGGATTCCATTCCAAAAGAACGGTTTTAGAAGCTCACAATACAACCAAATACAGAGCATTACCTTGGCCTCATGATTATTCAACTTTGCCGTCGATTTGGCGGATAGGCTAAGTTTCACAAAGATTTTTGGTATTTAAGGTTGTCGTAATGCATCCATTTTTCATCACCAGTTACAATCCCATGCAAAAACGACGTTTTTTATAGTGTTCAAGCACCATTTCTGACATACTAAGTCGTCACTCAACGGCTCTTCGCTTCGTATGACACCCGATTTCCCTGCTTTTGAATGTACCTGGCTGCTTATAAATGTTTTTAAATGGCTGCTTAAGTGACTCTCAATTCTGTGAGCTCTTCTTGTGTGTGACAACAATCTTCATCTCGTAATGCTCCCAGTTTCTCATCTTTTTTGACCTTTTTGTTTTCCGGGACGTTCTTCGTTTTCCAAGCCAAAATGTTTCCTCAGCTGTGAAAAAACTCCCCACAAAAGATGCACAAGGACAGTAGCTCTCCAACACACGTTCGGAGTATTTTAACAATGAGATATTAATCAAGTTACACCATCTCTTGGCAAATCGGACGAATATAGTTATAGACTAAATATTATAATATAACAGAATATCTTTAAAACTCATTTATATTAAACATTAATGCTATTACATATTGTACATTTTAATAAATCCGCATATTATACTTATGTGGAGACACTTTATTTAATCAAACAATTTTTTTTGGACATAATAATAATAATCTTGCTCAAATTGAACCTTAAGGCGGCGATATTATTAGGCATAAAAAACATTGTCTTGTTAATGTGATTACGTTATTTTCGCCTGTATTTACTGAACGCAACATTGATTTGAGGCAACACTTTCCAAGGCGTTGTGAATATTAGGTTTGTAGTCCATATCATAATACTTTTCGAAAACATTTACATTTGACACTTTCTTGGCTAATGTCTTATAGATCTCTATGCCTGCTATAGCATCATCAGCAGCATATTGAACTTGTTGAGGCGTCAACTTGTACGCCTCCCAATCGGAACAGCTTAGCGAAAAACTTTTCGTTAAGGTACCACCCACAACATCCATATACATTGCGGCCAAATTTTGCGCATTTTCACCGGTCAGTTTTGCCACAAAACGCAAATCCAATGCAGACCTTGTCGGTAGACCACATGCTTCCAAAAATGTGCAATCTCTTGCAGTGCCAACACCAACTTTAACCACCTTGCGATCCTTTAGTAGATCGCACAGGCTCCTGGGGAGGTTTTCTATTTTACATAGCCTTATAACAGCACAATATCCCTCGTGACTACATAACTGCAATACGGACACTGCGCCTTCGTGCACCCATTCACAATCAAAGCCGACTACTGGCACGTCATTACAATGCCTGAAAGTAGAAATGAACAAAGACAGATTACTTACATATATAAATGAATACAACTGTTTTAGGATTTACCAAGTTTCGAAACCTTGGTAAAATTTTTGCTTCTACTTAGTCATTCATCAAACACTTTAAGTACAAAAAGTTAAATTTTTTACTGATAAAAATATTAGTACACCTTTTATGAAAAAGTTGCAATAGTAACAAAAATCGTACACGGTTTACAAGTTAATATTACCGTTAAGCCACAGTTACATTGTCAAGTAGATTTTTGCGATATTCTCCGTGTACCATTGTCGTCCGATTTGAAAAATGTACTTTCGAGAAAAACGCCTTCATTTTAAACAAAAAATAGATTTTTTGTCAAACCTAACTGGCCTCGCCACCTAAGAGTCCCATAAAAACCTTTAAAGAAATCTCATATAGGATTCTTACGTATGATTTAACCGATAATGCATATGATTGATGGGTAATGAATGACTTAGAATATCCAGCGGTCATACCATTTTAAAGGGCACGCCAAGTGTGAAATTAAAAAAAATCAATATATGTTTATTTTTATTATCTTTACCTTTTTCTGAATTACAGCCATCTAAAGTGTAGCCGCTCAATACAATCAAGCCAATCAGCTATCTTAAAATCTTGTTCACATAACGGTTGTTTGTATCACCTAAAACTAGTCCTATACTCTTGTATATATATAAATGACCAGGGTGACGAGACGAGTTGAAATCTGAGTGACTGTCTGTACGTCCGTCCGGATTGGTATTGCAAATGGACGTAATCGGACTACTACCACACCTACAAAATACCATTAAACGAAAACATTATCATAGTAGTAAGAGGAGCTAAATAATTTTTTAAAGTGGGTGTGGCCCTGCCAACTAAATGGTAAAATATATCTTCCAAACCACATAACCAAACTTGCTGGGAAGAACAAATTTCTATAAACCCTGTGAAAATGGGTAAAACCAGATCATAATCATGCCCACTCCCCATATAACACAAGCATTAAATTTCACAACCAAGATAGTAGGACTTTAGCCGGTGTAAAAATTGGACGATGGGCGAAATGAAAACCCATACCTCGGTAAAAAATATTGTCCTAACATTCCTACATGGGCGAAAAAACCAACGCCTCCTTCCCATATAACACGGTATTAAATTCCATCTGATTCTTTCACTTCCCAGTATACTAATCAAGACCCAATCAACAAATCCGGATAATAAATATGATGCATTTGAAGTGTGCCTGATCTAAAATTGTCCAAATCGAACTACAACTTTTCAAGCCCCCAGATACCGAATGTTTAAACCCCAGTTCATATTGCGAATTTTTCATCGAAAATATCGGTCAATCTGCGAGATGTATTATAGAAAGAAATTCGAAGAGAATTTTTTTCTGATAATAGTATGTCTGTATGTCAAAAATGGGTTGAATCGGATCAATAACTCCCTAAGCCCCCATATACCTATTTAATAGAAAAATTTTCGAACTTCCAGCTGACTTTATACCCCATACATCGGCAAATATGTGAGTTATCTGAATAAAATTGGGGAAGCGTGTTTTCTAATAACGGTACATCTTTGTGCCTAAAATGGATAAAATCAGGTGCAAACTTGCCCTAGTCCCTTATCTTATATATTAGTGATGGTATATGAGTTACCTTAATGAAACTCAGAGAGAATCTTTTTCTGTTAATAATATGTAGTAATGCCAAAAATTGATAAAATCAGGTCAATATTACCATACACCTAATACAAGGTTGGCTTTATACCGAATATATTGATCGATACGTAAGATATTTTTGCCATATTAACTGAACGTAGATATTAATTAATTATATAACAAATTAACTGATCATATGTATAATATTGAATATACTATAGTTTAATGCCGAAAATATGTGAAATTGCTCCACGTATTACCCAAACTCCCATTCACTACATATATTGATATTCTAACAAACCTTATGCCAAATATGTCGATCAGTGTGTTAGTTATATACATATTTATAAAATTGATTGAAATATGGTCTAGAATATAACTGAGTAATGTCAAAAGTTTGTACAACCTTCAATATACCCTATACAGTTATTTCCGACTTCCCACTTGCATTTGAACCGCTTAGGTTGGCCAAAAAGTGTGATATTTTAGTGAAATTAAGTGAACAAGCTTTTTTAAAAATTATGATGGTATTTCCACGGGAACGGCAAGTTGCAAGAATATGAAATGTTCGGTTACACCCGAACTTAGCCCTTCATTTCTTGTTTAATATAAAGTTTTGTCAATATTGTATGAAATGTTCGGTTACACCCTTAGCCCTTTCGTACTTGTTCTTTTTTTTACAAAAGGCCTGAAGTTTCAGTTTTTGTAACAGAGCTCTTTATTTTTAAATTAAAGTCGTGTATAAATCATATTTCTTTTTCCATGTACACCCGCCAGAAAAGGTCTGCGTATACGCTTATCTCATATTCTTTTGTTAAAAAATAACTTTTATATAAAATGGGAATTCCCTACGTAATAACTATTGTAAAAGTGTCGGAAAGTTAAAGTTTTACTTGTTTTCGTAAGAGTAGCAATTTTAAAAAAAATTTGTTCTATTCAGTTTGTTACCAAATTTAGAATATCGAATCTCGCCTAAATGAAAATAAATAAGCCCCTCTGAAAGGGAAATAATGGTTAAACTTTTCGAAAAACATACCTTACATATGGGTTTTCTTTTCGTCCGTATGTTTTGTTTTGTTTATGTGTTACTGTCGGCTATTTAATCACTTTTATTTTCATAAAACTGTCCTTTAATGAATATCAAAAAAAATTGGTTTTTATATAAAAGTCAAGAAAGCTATTTTTCTCAACTTATTTTTGTTGGTACCTTGTACGCATACTTTTTTTGCCCGGTGTACATATATATTTAATATATATTTTTAATATTTTGCATTTAACAAGTAAACATACAAAGGGTTTTTGCCATAAAATCCCTCTTTGAAAGATATACGCAGTTCAAGTCATGCCTCAAGTGTATTGAGGCTTAGTAGGTGCGCATTCATATTGTCATATGAGCAACACAGAATTTATAATTTATAATATAAATTATATTTAGAAATTGTTTACGTTGAATCCTTTTAGGGCAAAAACTGAAACTTTACGGGACGTTTGCAAAATAAACAAGTAGGGAAGGTCTAAGTTCATATGTAACCGAACATTTTATACTTTCGCCGGGTAAAGTGACATACGTTATTTTCAAATATATTTTAATTAAAAGTAGAAAGTATTGCATCTATAGTTTAAAATCACAGACAAGACGATACACTATTATTAGAAAGAGATTCTTTCGAAATTTTTTTAAGATTTCTTAGATATTGACCGATAGATACAGTATAAAATCAACCGAAAGTTCGAAAATATATTAGGTATGTGGGAGCTAAGGGAAGTATTGACCCAATATTACCCAATTTTGGCACAAGTGCACGCTGTTATCACATAAATATTCTCCCCGCATTTTAATAACTTCATTGATGTTTTATTTGTCCAATGAAAAAAGAAAGAATTATATGGAATTTAAAAGTTTGTTTTATGGGGAAAAGGGCGTGGTTGTCAACCATTTTCATAGCATACAATAGTAATAATTGGGTAACCTCACACATCAAATTTGGTTGAAATTGGTCTAGTCGTTCCCGAGATATAGATTTTTACCTAAAAGTGGGCGGTGCCACGCTCATTGCCCTATTTTTACACCGGCTAAAGCCCTTTCCTACCATCTTGGTTGTGAAATTTAATGCTTGCGGCGCATTTATTCAGTGTGATATCGCACTTAACCGGTATATCAGAAGTGGGCGTGGTTATTATCTGATTTTACCCATTTTCACAGTGAATAAAAAAATGCTAAAAATACTTCTTCCCATCAAATATGGTTAAGTGGTTTAGAATATACTTTTTGTTATACATGAATACAAGTATAATTAACAATTATTTGAAGTAAAACTAATGTATATACTTGATCATGAACCCCTTTTTCTTTAATTTGATGCGAATATATCAAATTCTTGACAATTTCCAACTTTATTTCACACTTTCAATTATAGTTAGATGTCTAATTTTCCACACATGGAGCAGGTTTCCATTCATGACTATTTTTTAGTTAGTATTAATAGCAAACAAGAAAGTATGCAAATTTAAGCACATTAATATTGAGATTAACGTTCATTCTATATACATATGTATGTACAAACATAATATTGCCTACCAAAAGTTTATGCCTACCAACCAAACTACCAAAGACAAATAAACTACCAATTTTCTTCCGATCAGACCAAAACAGAAACTTTAGTATACCATTCCTCGATTTGAGGGTTAAAAAAGCCTTGAAAATAATTCATATTAAAAAAATAGTATATGTAGAAACAATGTAGTGAAGTGGTAGTGTATAATAAGTGCATATAAATCGAGAAATTGCAATATAAGATTTGTCAAATTTTCAACTTAAAATGCAAATATCTCGAAAACTATAAGTTTCCGGGGGTATAATAATGGTAAAATATATTATTGATCTGGAGAATCTCCTCTATTCAACCATACCCTAAATCAGAGATAAAGAGATGCCCAACTCGCCTCTCACTATTAATTTAAAAAAATTAGAGCGCAATTGATAAACGTCAAAACCTCTGAACTCAAGCAACTGTCAAAGTTCAGTAGGTCTGACGTTTAGCAATTGGAAAAAGAGGGACGGCCAGATTAAAATCATACAGAAAAATATGTAAACAGAGTGATTTGTGCTGCTGTTGAAGATCACGAAATTGAAATTTATGTCTAATATCTTTTGTGATGTCATGCTAAGTGGTATTGATTTTCAATTGAAAATTTTTAAAAACATTTATTAATTGTGAGCTAATACATTTATTCTTTTGATTACGTATTGAAACTTCCAAAATCAATTGTTGAATAAATCACAAAATCACAAAAAAAAAAAGAGTATAAAAAGTTTCTGCATATGTTTAACGGATACATGTATATTAATATTTAATCTTAATAAATGATGGGTATTTTAATTTAAATTCCCAAAAATTATTATTTTGTCCCATCGGGCTACATTGGAAAATGTTGCAAAAAACGCTAATTTTGAGGCGCTCTCACACTGGAAAGAGTTGGGCATTCCATTATCCCTGCCCTAAATCGTGGGATCGTATACTAAAGCCGAACCAAAAATTCTTGTTTTCATCCGTATGCGCTCTATTTACTATGTAAGTACATTAAAAAACAAAGCCGCTATTGTGAACATTTCCCGTTGAAATATTGCATACAATATTTTAATAATGTTTAATGAAATGTAATATATACTCACTTCCGTAATATGTCAACGGCTCTAACACACTGTTGATAGTTATCAATCAATTGGACTCCTTTCTCTGAATACTTGTTGTAAAGGTAGTTACATAGCAGCCCAACACCTCCGGCAACTGCAATTCCTCCAATTACATTTCGATCAGCCATAGTTATTAACTAATGGCTTTATTTCTTCAGTTTGACAATACGTATTACTTCTCAGAAAAATCCAAATTTTCCTACACTCTATCTCACAACCTTGCGTGTTGCAATAGCAGCGATCATGGCAGAGATAGATCATGGAATTGTTAGCGAAAGTACCTATTCACAGTACTTTTGCCACCTCAGAAGCGCACACCTACAATAAAACCAACATGGCCGCCTCTGGTGAGTTAAGGAGGCGAGGGGTTAAAACGGGTTGCGCATGCATAAACGCTGTAATAATTATTTATAAATATTTTCAATTTTGGTTATAGAATGCTTTTTATTGCTGTTAACAAAACATGATATTGTACCATGTTGAGATATGCGGCATATTTTTAAGCATTTTAATTAACTTATCAATGGACAAACTGAAAATTTTATTTAACTATGAGTGGACGGGAAGAAATAACTATTGTAACAGAATTTGATATTATAAGTCATTATAATTTATATAATCAGTAAAGGAAAACTTATCATTGTCTTATAAGTCATAATAATTCATTTAAGCAATAAAGCAATTTTATCATTGAAGATCCTCGGAGGTGGGGAAAATACTGTGAATGGGCCTTTTCGCTACTCCCTTATACCATGGTTAGAGCAGAGAACTTAGAAGAACGAGAAGGTGCAGGTTTCACAGCGAACGTTTGTAAAATTTTTATCGGGAAGTTCACCTCACACGCAGGAGAAACAAATATTAACTTTCTCGCTTTTATTACAGCGGTGAATCTGTACACCATGATATAGGTAAATATGCGGCATATTTTTAAGCATTTTAAATAACTTATCAATGGACAAACTGAAAATTAAATTTAACTATGAGTGGACGGGAAGAAATAACTATTGTAACAGAATTTGATATTATAAGTAATAAGAATTTATATAATCAAAAAAGCAAAACTTTTCATTGTCATACAAGTGATAATAATTCATTTAAACAATAAAGCAAAATTTATCATTGCACTTATATCAAGAAATAGTTACTGTGCCGATGTTTTCTCTAATTTAAGAATAGATTTATTTAATCACAAATTTTATTTACTTTTTATATATTAGCAATTAACGGTGGATATATGTTCAATAGTTTATTACAACTTTTGACATACAAAATTACCATATTATTATATAGTTTTTAGTTTAGTTTTTAAATATATAGACTTCTAAAATAAATTATTTTTGGAAGCTGCAATGTCTTTATAGTATAAAGCGACGTTGGTTTCACTCAAAGTGCACCAACCTTTCATCCGATGAGTTTAAATCCATCGCCAACAGCATTAAGAAAAAAGAAACAGTTTGGAACTGTGACTCATGTGCAAGTGACATTAGTGTTAAGACATGTGATGTATTGGATTCCGATGAGGAGGCATCAGATGATCCGCCACCGTCAAAGGATATTGAAACCTTACTCAAGAGACACTTTGAACGTTTTACAACAAATTATGAACGTGAGTTCAGGGACCTAAAAATCAGTTGTAAGTGAAATCAAGGACTTAAGAAAAGAGGTAAGCAAACTGTCAGAACAAAACGTATCGCTATCAAATCAATGTTCTGCCCTGGATGACAAACTTACATCAGTTGAAGACAAGCTAAACGTAGATATGAGGCTGCCTACCAGCCAGGAAGAGTTTTTCACTGAACTGTCAGAACGAAAACTGAACTCAAGTTACGTAGACTGGGTCGTCCTACACCTGGACGTACACGTCCTCTTCACATTACCACCCGCTCAGCAGCCGATGCACTTTCCATTATCAAATACCAACAGACGAAAACTCAGGTTTTATTTTCAAGACTGATCTAACTCCCTCTCAACAACTTCATCTGAAAAATTTGCGTCAAGAGCTTGATTCAATCGTGAAGAGTGGTGATGATAGTAACACAATTAAATATATCCATGGTGTCCCAAGAATCGTTAAAAGAAATTTTCGTCCGCTCAACGAGCAAGAAGAAAGTATCTTACGTCCACCTGTGCTACCAGAACGTCAGAGGTCTGCGTACAAAACTCTCAACATTTCAAACAGCATTAGCGGCTAACCAGTACGACGTTGTATGTATTTCGGAATCCTGGCTTCAATCATCCATATTTGATAGTGAAGTCATTGATTCAACATATAGTATCTACCGTAAAGACCGTGTTTCTCTCATCAACGAGCAGAGCAAATATTCATCCGTGTCAAGGGAGCTTCTCGCGATATGATCATCGGCTGCATCTACATACCTTCTCAATCAACTCTTGAGATCTTCGAGTACCACATAGCTACCGTTTCATTTATAATGGACAAATACCAAAACTCCAACGTCATGATTGTCGGCGACTTCAATATTCCTAGCAGCTTGCCTCGTGTCGACTGTGAAAAGCAACTTTATGATGGATTTGCCTCATTAAACTGCACTCAACAAAATTACATTCAAAATGCCTGGAACTCAACACTTGACCTTTGTTTCAGTGACATTGACTCTTCTCCGGAACACGCAGTTGCTCTTGTCCCGGAAGATAAGTACCATCCTGCTATCGACATCTTCAAGTCTGAATTACATATTAACTTACAATTATTTAAATATTTTCCAGATATTACACTAATATACCCTAGCTACTTTTGTATAACACTTTAATTCTTTATTATATCTATGTATATTGCCGATTGGCGTTTAGATAAATAAATAAATAAATAAATATTAATTTTTAAACAAAAAATAATAATACTGTAGGCATATCAGGTAGCTGTCTCTGTATTTCAGCATGTAGCGATTTTAATATGAACAATATTTTACATATAATTCTTTACATAAATAAATTACCATAATGTTATATAGTTCTAAATTATTTGTTGAAGTTGCAATATCTTTATTGTATAAAACATGGTATACGGGTATAAAATACGGTACATATATTTCTTTTTTAAAAAGTATTTTAAAATTAGCTTGCGCAACACTGTTAGGCAATGCTCAATAGCAATACTGGCATTTGAATTTATTAACAACTTTTAGTCAAACGCACTAATACACACTTGCTTATTGATAAAAATTCTTGTGTGAGCAGTTTTATCAGGAGGAATATTAAATATTCAACATTATTTTACGAAGATTGTGTTGCAAATTTTTAAACATTGCCCTCAGTTTCGTTGAATAAGCATTTTCTGCATCCCGTTATTTGACATGGTTGCTTAATAGCACCTTACACTTTTCTGTGGTGAATATTTATTAAGTTACCACAGTTAAAAAATGGCATAAATATATATCGTAATTACTCTAAAATTTGCCAATAATAGCCGCTCCTATAAAACATATATTAAAATAAACTTATTTTATTTTGAAAACATATTAAAGTTTTACATATAACCAATGTTTTTGGGACAACTTTTTCATAAATTCAAAGAAAAGAAAATAGCAAGATGCAACCATTTTCCGGTTAAAAGTTGGCCATCTTGGCTGTCAATAGAAACTCAACCCCTAGGGGGACTTGACGTTTCTCCATGGACCCCTCTCAGCTGTAGCTTACATCGATCAGCTGATTCTTTCCTACTCCCCCTTTACGATGCTGTACACATACGTTCTCTTAACATAACCAAACGGGGAATATTGAAGAGAATATAGTATGTATGCCAAACTGGGAATATTGATATGCCATTTGAAATATATTCCCTTTTATTGAACTATTATTTATTTTATTTTTTATGATTTTATGCTAATTAATTTTTACTTTATTGTGAGTTGTAAGTAATAATTTAAAAATATTTTGATAAATTTCTTAAAATAATTCATGTACTTAACACCATTCGCACTCCCCTGCGAATGGCAGGCACCTTGCCGTGGTGCAGGGGCTTAAGTCGCAAGGCATTCTCGGCATCTCCCAACTGGTGTGAGTAGTGCTTCCACCCTTACACTGGTTGTCAGAAGCCGCATGCGTGCGGCAATCAAGAGCTGCCACCTCCTAATCCAGGGTGTTATGCGACTCCCGTGAACACTGGATGATTTGCAGCCAGGAGGTAAATTCAGCTGTAGTCTAACGGAGCCTTCCCAACAAAGAGCCGCATTCCGCATTGGGAAGTAAAGGTGGCCTTACCGCGTCAAGGGGCTCTAGCGCGGCGGACTCTTTGTTCCCCTTTAAAACACAACAACAACAAACGGAACACGGCAACAACAACAACAAACGAACTTGGACAATTACAACAACAAAAGCAGCGGTGCAGGTAAGGGCGAATCAGGGACTAAGCGTAAGTTCAGCTTCCTCCCCACGGAGGAGTCGCAACGGGCGTCCACCGGTGGGGCTCGCAAACGCAGAAGGAAGAGGGTAGGCAGACTACCCCCCTGCCATCAACCGGGTGTCCGGGAGGACAGGACGATCCCAGAAGAAAGGGAATGAGCGGTGCCAGCCTAAAGTGGTACCTGAGGCACCTCCAGGAGGGAATAACTCCGGAGGAAGCCGAAAAACTAGCGCGAAACAGGGTAGGAGGAGACAGTGCCTCCCCTGCTTCAGGAAAGCAAAAGGGTGGTAATACCGCGGCCATTAGGAAGTGTAATGGCAGTAATCGAGGCCACTGCCCAGTAGGCGCAACTTAGTCCGCACTCCGGGCAGTGGAGGGACAGCGCAGGTATTCGGATGCCCTCAAAGGCATTCGTATGGCTGTGCTGCCGCTGAACTACCCGGCGGAGGTGCTGGGGTCGGAGAAGCTCACCGTGCTCCAAGATTTACTCATGGAGGAGGTATTCAGAGGGTCTGGATACAAAGCCTCCTTCCATGGGGTATATTTTAAGGGAGGCATGCTGCAGGTTGACTGCAAGGATGAAAGGTCGGCTTGTTGGCTGAGGGAGATCGCTCCGAAGCTGGCAGGCTGGAATGGCCCCATCCTCTGCACAAAGAAGGGGGACGAAATTCCGCCCATGCATAGCATGACGGTATTCCTCCCCAGGTGCGCAGGCAAGTCGTACGAGTTTGCTTCGGGCTCATCCGAAACCAAAACGATGGCCTCAGCACATCGGCCTGGCGGGTGTTCAGCAGCAAGGCTGAGAATTCAGGGTGGAGGCTCAACCTCTGCATAGACGACGAATCGTACAAATTCGTCCGGAGGGTGAGCTTCCGCCTGAACTGTAGGTTCAGCTCGGTGGTCCTGAGGCCATTCAAGCCGAAAACGATCACCGAGGGTGATGCAAGAGGAATAATGCAGGGGGATGAGGTTGCGACTCAATCCGGCGCAAGTACGTCGAAGCAGGCTGCAACTGCTGAGACAACGGTGAAGGTCTCTACCGAGAAGACGGGCGAGCAAACGGGGGCGCTACCCTCCACTCAGGAGCTTCTGGAGGGGCTCACGAACCTAGCGGGGAGCATCGCGGAGGACGGTGAGAATGAGGACCAGTTCCTCATGGAGCACCTCCTGTAATGGGGCCGCACATAGAAGTTGCCCAGGTGAACCTGCACCACGCGGCTTCGGCCTCGGCGGTTATCGCGAGCAGGTTCACAATAGATGGACTGGGCATACTATTGATCCAGGAGCCATGGGTCAATAAAGGAGAGGTCAGTGGCCTCAAAATGGAGTCTAATAAGGTAATCTGGGATCTCTCTAGTGAGAGACCTAGAACCTGCATAGTACTTAGGAACGGTATTAATTTCTTTTGCATTTCAGAGTTCCTAACACAGGACCTGGTCGCTGTGCAAGCAAGGAACGACGAAGGAGCGAACTTCGTCGTGGCAGCGTCCTATTTTCCGGGGGAGACTCCGACAGCACCCCCAGATTCAGTCGGCAACCTGCTGAAGTACTGCAGGAGGAATAAGCTGCCCCTCATCCTGGGATGTGCCGCTAATGCTCACCACATCGAATTGGGCAGCACGGACTGCAACACACGGGGTGAGTCTCTTATTGAGTTTATAGTTAGCAAGAATTTAAGTATTGCAAACGTGGGGTGTGAGCCCACCTTTGTAACTAGTGTTAGAAGGGAGGTGCTGGACATCACTCTCAGTAACGAGTCTGTGGCAGGGCTGATCTCACAATGGAGGGTGTCATCGGAACCCTCCATGTCGGATCACCGTATCATAAGATTCGCACTGGGGATGGAGGTCAAACAACTCCCTTCTAAGCGTATCCCAAGGAACATGGACTGGGCCGGACTCACTTGATACAAATGTTAGTAGCAGGGAGCAGCTGGATGGGAGTGTAACTGCTTCTGGATTGGAAAGCAGACTGTTTGCTCTAAACCAATCCATTACAGAGGCATATCACAGCAGCTGTCTCCTAAAGACAACCACCAAGAGCCGTAACTGATCCTGGTGGTCTAGCAGACTCTCAATACTAAGAAAAACGGTACGCAAGCAATTCAATAAGGCTAAGCGCACCGGAGACTGGGAGGATTACAGATGCAGCCTTACTGCTTACAATAAGGAGATTAGGACCGCAAAGCAGAAGAGCTTCAGGAAGTTTTGTGAAAGCGTCTTCTCAACGCCAGAGGCAGCGCTCTGGCTAGAGGAAAAACGGACACAGTACTAGCGATTAAAAGATCTGATGGGGCCTATACGTCCAGCGCAGAAGAAAGAGCCACGGCCCTTCTACTTGCGCATTTCCCGGAGACGATTCAAGAAGCCAGATCCGACCTATGGTCGAACGAAGGCCATCACGCTTGGACTGGATGGTTGCAAAACAGCTCTTCACTGCAGACTCCATCAAGTGGGCTTTGGCCTGCTTTGAAAAATATCAGTCCCCGGGTGCGGATGGGATCCTTCCAGCATTTCTGCAACAGGGGGAACAGGTACTCATTGGCGAAATCCTTCAGGCCAATCAGTCTTACTTCCTTCCTGCTTAAGAGTATGGAAAAGATCATAGACCATGCGAAGCAACATGCATACAGAGCAGGCAGATCAACAAACACTGCTCTGTATCAGCTAACCTCGGAGATCCAGAATTCGTTAGATGGGGGCGAGGTGATGTTATGCGCCTTCCTTGATATCGAAGGTGCCTTTGACAATACGTCTCATAAAAGCGTGTCAAGAGCACTGAAGAAAAGGAGTGTGGCAGCACCAGTGGGTAGCGGAAACCGCAGTAGGAGATACCAAAATTCGTCTTGGCACAACAAGGGGTACCCACAGGGTGGAATGCTATCCCCCCTACTTTGGAGCCTAGTTGTGGACGATCTCCATGAGCACTAACTAGCAATGGAATCCGCTTTCAGGGATATGCGGATGACATTGTTAACTTAGCTAGAGGTAAATTCGAAAACACACTCTGCGATATCGTACAGAGGGGACTGGGACTGCCAAAGGGATGGTGTAGTGGTGTTGGCTTAAACATCAACCTCTCTAAAACTACAATCATTCCCTTCACTAGACGGAGGTCACTGCCAGGCCTCAGAAATATATCCCTTGACGGCAGTGTGGTGGAGATGGCCAGCACCGTCAAGTACCTGGGCCTCACACTGGATTCCACTCTACGATGAAAGCAGCATGTGGACCCGACCCTAACTAAAGCTACGAAAGCACTTATGGTGTGCAACCATAATTAAAATAGATTTAATAAAAAAGGGTTATAAAAATTAAAAATAGCATAAAACTACATCTGTGATTGAATTCGAACTCAGGCAAAGTATTTGATGTAAATTTGCAATAATAGCACAGTTCTGCTATAAAAACAGCACCACAAACAATTTATTAATAAATTGTTCTAATGTATGAACATTTCATTTTTTACTTGTTTCAAATAATCAATTTGTATGTGAATATTCTCGAAATTGCCTTTCCTCCATTCGCATGTCTAAATATATTTGTATATATGTACACGTAAGTACATACATATGTTTGTATATTCCTCAAAATGCGTTTTGTAAAAAAATCAAACATTCGCGTTCATTCATCAACATTCTCTGTTTACATTCTCTGCTTATAGAGCAAGTTCTGCTATAACGCAAATTAAGTTTATAAAATGAATGAATGAAATTGAATTTGAATGTATTCAGTAAAATTGAAGAATCAGCAAAATTTCAATTGTACAATTTGTATCACTGAAAATCCTACCATCCCCCTCGCATTTGTATGTTGCCCACAAGCTGCTTCCTCACAACATTTGCTAAAAATCAGAAATTGAAGAATTTGTTGATGTTTCCTTCAGAAAGGAGAATTGGCAACATGACCTCTTAGCGATTTGAAATATTATTTAAATTTTTTTCATATTATGCCCTATTTATGGCATTAAATATTAAAATTTATATAAAATTGCCATTCATATGAAATCATTAACTACTTCTATATATTCGTAGCATTTCAAAAGAGCATAAGTCAATTTTCAACAGCAAAGCCTTGCAAAAAGGACAAACGAGACAACATAGCCGATCGACATTGTCGCAAAAGTCGATTGAAACAAATTTTGTCAACTCCGCGACAATTCACACAATTCATGCGAGCTCATATGTATGTATGTATGTAAATATGTATGTTTGTCGGCAAAGTCGTCATTTGCCTTTTTTCAACAACACAATGTCTGCGCGAACTCGCCGTTATTTCGTTGGCTTGCCACCATACACAGAGGCGTTCTAACTTAGAACTCTTAGAATATTATTATGTTGCTTAATTTGTATTGAAAAATACTGATGCATTTATGAATTATTTTCGTAACATAATATATATTATATATATATATATATATAAATACACATAAATTCATACTTATAATCGTTTTTAAACTAAATTCGATAAATAAAATATATATCTGAAATAATTATGTGGCAGTGCGACCAAATCCCTCCTTGCCTGCGATCGTTCAACTCGCAAAAAGCAAAAAGAGAAAACAAAAGTCATTGCTTGTGCGGGGCAAGAAGAAGCAAGCATCAGCGTAAGTGTATTTAAGAATGGATGTGTGATTATCACATTTATGTAAATACGCATAATAAGGAAATATTCAATAAACCTAAACATATGAACATATTTTCCTGATATATTTTAATTATATCAGGAAGTAAAAATTAAAGAAATTGAATTATGATATGCTTAGATTCCAATTAATAAAATAAAAAATTTAATAAAAACCCTTCCCGCTTACGACCTCAGCCACCACAAAAGTGGAAACGCGGCCGCTAAGCCACCGTTTTATTACAGTTTTCACCATAGATTCTTGTTTGTTGATTCATTTTTTTTGCGTTTGCGCTTTTGTTGTATATGCGTATGCGTTTTTATGTTTTGCTTATTCAAAGTATACATTTGCCACAATTGAGGGATATGACCAACCTTTTCAACTGGGAGGATCTGAACCGCCTTTGCTCAATAAGCAACGCACATACATAAGTTGGAAAAATTGCCTATTAAATGTTTATTTTATTATGAATTCTGGGGTTTTTACCGATAATACAGATTTTTAATTCAGAAGGCTTTTCATAATTATAAATTTATCATATCATAGAAATTGAAAACATAAATCTATATAAGTAGGTATGCGCAACGATTTTTCATTTAGGAATATTCGTTGTGTCTATTTATAGCATTTCGAAGTTATATTTTATTGTTCCCTCATCTGGAATTACAAATTAGTACTCAAAGAGATTTCATTTAACATTTGCTCCTTCTCTATTCATTTACGTTCTTTGATAATACTTGTAATCTTAATGCATTAGCGCAAATAAATTCTATTCCCAGATTATGAGCAAATAAACACAGCTTAACAATAGACGCCAGAGCAGAGAACGTATACGCAGAGATACATTTATAACGCCGTCAAATTTAGGGTTGGCGACTGTACGTTTTGTGGAATAATAAACAAAACCAGCTGATCAAGAAGTTGTTTGGAAAACGTATTTTTTCAATATATATATTTTTAAACAATTTTTATTGTAAAGCAACAAAATATGTCCCTGGGCTATACGTTTCTTGGCTGCGCACTATTAGTAAATATCGACAACAAAGAAATACTTTATGAAGTGAGAGCATAATGCATACATAATTAATTTATACATACATTGATGAATTTACTTTTTGTAGATTCTTAACTACTCGGTTGATGTGCTGCTCGGCAATAGCGATGAACATCAAATGGAAAAACATTGCCACAAATATGGATTTCAGAATGTTTACGATTTTATGTTGATGACACGAAAAATTGCACGCGCGTATAAATCTCATTATGAAAATGAGAATTCCACAGAGGCAGAATTGCTTTATGAATTTAGCAATTTAAGTCCTGAATTTCAAAAATTGGTACCAACCGTGTATGAAGCGCGTAAATCGGAAATTGAAAAATATATGCTACAACTAAATAATGCTCAAGAAAATCCTTTAGTACTGTCTTTCGACTACGATGCTCGTGTAGTGCTTGGCGATAGCAGTTTCGCTCAAAACTTTCGAGAACTAACAAGAATATATTTTAATTGTTGCGATGGAAATGGAAAACATAGTAAGCTTCATTTCGAAATGGATTTAAATAAGCTAAACGAATTTATTGCTGCTTTAGAAGCAGCAGTGGATAAAGGCGACAAAAAGCATATGTAAAACTAAACAACATACTTGTGCCAATCCTTTTCTATCCATATTCTTTTGCGGTTGAAAGGTTATACGTAAATACAGCTCTAAAAATTTGTTACCACATTGTTGAAAAAATCTACGATTTTAAACACCGTTTATTATATTCACTTCTATTAAAATGTACATTGCAAAATATTTGCGTGATATAAATACAATGGATTTATACGAGTATATGTGGTAGTGAATTAACATTACTTGTATTATGCTAAGGATACTTATATATTATTTATTATTTATAATTTATAAGTCATTATTGGACAACAAATTTTATTAATAACAATATTCTTATCAACTTACATAAATTAGCTAAAATAAATCAAAAAAAAATTATCCTTAAAAACCAACTTAGAAGGAGCAATGAAAAACTTATAATGTAGTGAACATAACTTTAACCTCGTTTACGAATGGTTAATATTTTTATAATATTATATTTTATAACTCATATATTTAGCAAAATGAAAAGCCGATCATCCAATTCCAAAGAGGTGCTGTAGCATGCCGTAGCGCATGATTTTGGCTAGGCTGCATATATATGCTTACTCAACTAACTCCAGCAGAGAGATACTGATTTTTATAGTAATATGCACAAATGCCAACCAGAATGGAGAAAGCTGTTGTCACGATCATTGATTTCGGTGTGAGCATTTGTGGAAGCCACCTTGCCAAGTTATTGTTGTCAGCACGGGCATTACGAGCAAGTTGTTTCCTTCGCTCTTTAATTCGCTTCTCTTCCAATTGCCTTTGCAGTTTTCTATAAAACATATTTCATTAATTTTAATGTTAATACTTATTGAGAAAACTTACTCCTTTCGCACCAGTTCCTCGACATGTTTTTCAATTACCGTCAGGGAGTATTTATCATATAATAAACTCGCAATATTTAAAAGCTCTTCAAATGGCAGATCATCAGGTAGCTAAAAATGTAGAAATTATAGAATAAAAACGCATTTTTAATTTAGAACGCATATACCCTAGATAAAAGACAATGTACTGAGGCCATGTCACAGTCAACCTTTAGTATATCTTCAGCTCGATATAATATGATAGCAGCAGTCACAAAAATTGGCATATAGATTGGCGATGCCAAAAAATAGTCATAAAGACGCACTACATCTTTATATGAATTTAAACTGTGTCCAAACCATGTCAAATACCAAGGCAATGCAAAAAGTGTTCCAACTGCAGATTGCTGTAGAAATTGAAACAAATGTGAATTTTCTAAATCCACCAGCGGCCATATAAACATCAATCGTTTTTGAGTGGCATCCATTGTTTCCTGCATACATTCCGAGAAATGGTTGGTAGATAATTCCTCCATAACCGCGAATGCTACCTCTTCACCAACGACTAACAAAAATGTAACAGCTACATCGTGATATCCTTGATAGTAGCGTAAATTCGGATATTTTTTTATCACACGCAATATTAAAACAGTCAATTGGTCTTGTAATGCAATACGTTGCTCATATGGAATGCCGGGTGGAAAACGCTTAAGCGATCTATTGACATCAAGTACCACTTGCTGGTATTCTGGATGTGTCTGTAAATCTTGTAGACTGGGCGCAGGTTCTAAAGAGGATGTATCAACACCAGCCAATTGGGGCCACAGCAACCGTCGCAATTCATCATTGACTAATCCATGGTCTGAACGTGAAATCTCCTGCAGCTTTGGAAGTGGAATATTGCCATTGTGCTCTTTCAATAAACGTTCGATTTTCAAACGTTTTTGTTGCTCCTCACCACTTTCTGGACCTAAACAAAATTAATATATTAACAATAGCCAAAAATATCTAAACAAATTATGTCAATATATCTTACATTTCTCAAAACACAATTTCTGTGGTTGATCGATTTTTATTTCACTGTTCTGATGGTTCGCTCCATTTATTTGGCTCGTCATACTGCCAATTTGTGTTTAGATGTGCAAACTGAGTATGGAAATTTTACAAATTTTCGAAGCTGTTCATGTGCTATAATTATTATTGTAATTTTAATCCCAGTGCAATCATGACAAATGTAAAATATGATATTTTTATTTGCAAATTAAGCGAAGAAAGGGCACCTGTGCGCTGTCAACTATCAGCAGCGTTGCCACACTTAGCGCTTAAATTATTTTTTGTGACGTGTACAACGCCTACATATAGTCACTATACTATGAATCTAAAAAATAAGAATAAAGATGTTTATATAAATTATTAAATAAAATAAAAAATACATTTTTAGTAGTGCCCCGCAAATATAATTTGTACGAAAATATATGTTTCAAATTATCGATTTAAGTATATTCAAAATTTTACTACATTATTTTTGTGTCGCACAATTAATCAAAGCGTAAGCACTATTTCAAACAGCACTGATTTATTGATCTGGCATCACCACTTTTACAGTTGGTACATTAATGGCTCATGCACATAGAACTGTTGCTTCACCTTTTTTCAGACTTTTGCTTGGGCAGAAAATTTCGGTGTCATTTTTTTGCATGAGTACGTTTGCATGGACGCAAAACGCAGCGAAGGAACGGCGAAGGAAAATGTTCGGCAACTCTTTTTCATTTTGCCAAGCAACAGACGTAATTTTTATTAACGAGTAGCACGGAAATCCAAGTATTGATTGTGACATACCCTTTGCTTTCTTCGCTATGTTGTTGAAGTATGAATTGTCAAACAAATCAACAAAAGTTGTATGTGAATTGGCCATAAGTAACTCCTTTTAAGTTCCGGTGCGTCAACGCAACCAACTATGATATTTTCAATGCAAAATAAATAAGTAAGCAGCCGCTTAAAAAACGATATAAAGTTGAAACTACGAAATAGAAACAAAATTTGAGTTTGCATATGTAATATGATTTTGTGAAACGTAATCAAAATAAACTCAATTTGGAATTTTTTGATGATACGTTGTTTTCCATTTTAGGTGACAATATGTTTTCTACTCAGTTGTTAAAGTTACGTATATGCTTCTGTTTGTTATGTCGTTTCAGTTTTATTTAAGTGGTAGCGTCATATTCAATCATATTTACAATTTTATTTTCCCTACAATTTGTAGAGTAAATTAAATTTAATTAATACGACAAATGCAAAGGCATTCAGTAGATATAAATAAAGTTTGATTTTTAATTATGCATATAGCTTTATTTAAAAAAAAGTCTTTTCACATGATTTTAAATTGTGCAAATATTGTTTGCTTGCTAAACTATATTAAAATAAATTTCGAAGTAAATTTAGGTAATATTTATATGTTTGTAGCAATTACGTCGCACATTCAGTGTTAAATAAATTTTCGATTTGCGATTTGTATATAAATACCTTAGACTATTAAAGATAACCATTTTTTTACATTTAAACTTATTTTACTTTCACGTACTTTTACCTTCTATAAATATTATTTAAATTGAGAAATTATATCATATACTTGCATACCTACTGGCAAAGTGCGACATTATTGTTTATTTTTCTTTAGGATATTTAAGAAGATGTTATGTACGTATGCATGCAGTATGTATGTAATATACGTTTACATTTTTTTGTAGTTCCAATGGCGATTTTATGTCTCACATCATTTAATAATTATTTTAGGGATGTTTGCTTTTTTTTGTAAGAATCTATAAGAATATATGAAAATAGTTATAAAAACACGTTATTAAAAGTATACTAATATAGGATATTTCACGAACTATCGCATAATTTAATTTAAATATTTTACTTATTACTTTAAATGTTAAATTAGTATTTATACAAAGTGTACATTTTTTTGTTGATTGTTCTATTTTATAGAAAAGTTATTTTCAACAATTTGTTTTTTTCTTATCAAAACAATATCTTAAAGTGGATTATACAAGTTATCATCTTTTTCAAAAAGTAAAGCATTTTGTTAAATAAAATATTAACATCAGTCAGGCTAATCCACAGATTCAAGTAGCTGACAAATATTTATAAAAAACAAAGGGGGTTCATTGGCTAATTCACATATTTAAAAAAATAATCTGTCAAGAATCTAAGTTTATTTTTTATTTAGTCATCGTGTTAGCTTCCATTGACGCCGACATCAAAACTGTGCTGATATTTTATTTGACGAGATGTCTTTACGAAATTTGACATTGATTATTGCCCAAGACAAGGGTACAATCTCAGAACAAATTGTTTAGTTTGGATAACTATAATGTATAAAAAGAAATTTGTTAGTTTGGATCACTTGTTGTCATACAAACTATGTATGGAAAACTTTTTTTTTTTATGAAGGGTATTAAGCTTCATGCAACCGAAATTAAATTTTTTTCATGTTTTTATTTAAACGTAGTTCGCCTAAATTAAAATTTATTATAGTAAGATAACTCTTAAGTATAAACGCATTATACCTGACTTAAAAAAAGTGTGTCAATTTCACAAAACCCAAAAAAGTACTATAGCAACAAACAAGAATGAAAATTCTGAGGGAATATCATGTTATTATTGGCTCTGGGCAGTGTTTATAATTTTGATTTATGGTTAAGTGGCTTCAAGGTTAATTTTTACTAAGGTTAGCAATAAAACTTTACGTTGAATTAGAAAAAAAAATACATATTACTTAGTATTCTATAAAAAAAACTATGGCTATAAATTCATTTAATAAAAGCTGCTTTAATATAATATTAATAATAACAGCGGAGTAATATTGCTTGAATCCTTATTTTTGCTTTTCAGATGTTGTTTCATTATTTTTAGACCGCTACTATTTAAAGTTATTTTTTATATACACATGATAACTATCCAGTTTCAATCTAATCAAGCAAAACCTTAGCAATAAAAACGCTAATAAAATTCTTTGATGTCAAGCAATGATAATTGTTAATAATAACAGCATGAGCAATTTTGACAGGTCGACATCAATTCGAGAACACAGCAATGACGACTAAAAACCGTAAAGGTATAAAATGTAAATATGATAATTATCTAACAAAACTTTTGAAAGTAAATTAAATATAATATATATATATATAATTAGATGATTAATTGAAGTTATAGTATAAGTGTCAGTGTATATATGTATCTTAACTAACCTTATGCTCCGAAAAAGATTACGGACTAATTAAGCTTAAAAAATAAAAAAAAACTTATAAATTAAATTATATTACAGTGAAAAAATTATATGCATATAAATGTTGCGCATAATGTATAATTCAATTTTATTAGCTAGGCAATCCCTTAATGACGAATGATGCTAAAGCACTAAGGCTGTTGATAAATAATGAGAAAATATTTGTAGAACTAGTTGGTACATATATATATATATGTATATACATATTTGAGTTTTAACTAGAGCGTTATAAAATATATACATGTATGTATATAGCATAGTTTATGCGTTGGATATAGTTTAGTTATAGCTATATTGAATTCTTTTTTTTAAATTTTTTTTTATATTTTATACATATATATTTAGTATATAATTAAAAGTCTTTTCACATGAGTTTGAATTGTGCAATTATTATTTGTTACTGGTTTGACTATTTGTAATAAATCGAACTTCCAGTTGAATTATAATATTTTCAGTTTTTAGCAATTTTATACATGATTAGTGTTGCAAATGTTTATGGTTCGTATGATTACGTGAACGTATCAATGATATTTTATACATTTATATGTATATATGTATCGTTTTACAAATTTACTCTGTTGTGATATTTTAATATAACTCGGCATATAATAAACTGTGTTTTTCTTAAAGTCATATGAATTTCAAAGTGCAAAGTGTGTGTATTCGTTTAGTACATAATTTAAAGTTGTTCGAGAAGTTCTTTTTGGTTCAATACATAGTAGTGTGTGTATATAATCTACTATACTGCTATTCATTGTAATTAAAGTAATTGAAACAATTATTTGTTTAGGCTATGCACGACAAATCGATACTCATATTTTTTTGTGTGTATATTTATTATGGTTTGAGTTTTACATATTAATTAAGTATACATGCATATACGAAAATACTTATAAAAGACATTTGTTAAAAAATATGGTCACATGGGATTTTTATTAAACTATGTTATATATATATGTATATGTTTTGTTTTTTTTAATTTAAATATTTCACTTATAGTTTAAAGGCTTAAGTTTAAATAAAAGTCTTTATAATAAATAGTAAAATATTCCATATTTTTGTTTACAAATATTAAAGTGAAGATGCATCATTACGTTTTATATTCGTGTTATATTGATTGTTTCATTTAATGATTCTCTTCTCAGCAATTGCTTTGTATCGTTCTCAATATCTATCGGAGATATGCCTGCGCTACGATCATTAATATACGTATTATCTTCTTCCACGATTTTTTCGAGCACTATATCACCGGAATTGGTTAAACCTGTCAGCAGAAAACATTACAAAAAAAAAATTAAATTTAATATAGCATTATAATTATTTGAAATTTTGTATAACATTAATAGATTAATATGTTAGACTAACAGTTACGCCCTGTTAACGGACCATTTGCTACTTCCTCCGCCGATACGCTGTTCACTAGTGCTACGTCCGTGGCAGTTCCATTGCGCATGTTCTTTTGTAAAGCCACAGCTTTGCGTGCGTGGCGTGTGGTTAGCACACCAGTTTCGACATCACGCTCCAGACGATGACCAGATCGTGAGCGAGTTAATTGTCGTTGCACATAATCCTCAAGATCTTCTTCTTCCTTGCGGCTAATCAAGCAATTCAATACAAGCAAAAATAGTCCTAATCCGAGCGAGAAAAGCCCAGTGCAAGTAACTTCATTCCACCATGCCGAGCTGCTACCTAGAAAAGAAAATATATCAATTGTTATTAACTTTTGATATTACCAAAGGGAATATCAAATTAGGTGTCGAAAATAAAGGATGGATAAGATATGTACATTCTCTTTCAATTTGATTTTAATGAGTATTATTTTGTATTTTGCGGAGGAGGCGCTCTTCAAAATTATTTTCGATAATGCACTACAAAGTCTGTTTATGTTTCTAGTGCCTTTTAAACAGATATAAGTAATATAGCAAATAAATTAAAAAAATATCCAGATGGCCAAGTCGGAAAAAAAACAAACAAAATTAATGAACATGCACCAGCATTTCTTTATATAGTGGGAAAATGGGTATAATTGGATAATAACCACGCCCACATCCCATACAATGTTTATCTAGAAAACTACAAAAATTGCGATAATTATCTAAGGTAAAACGTCAGAAGCAGACAGTCGCAGTCAACGAGTATAAAAATTGAACAATAGGTATGGCACCCCATGTGCATGTGAAATCCGATATCTCAGCAACTAATTTAAACTAAATTTGGTGCATAATAATCTCTTGAAATCATTACATCAGCAACGCCCACTGCTCATTTGTAATAAAATACTAATGAAGATATCGAAATCAAACTTAGCACAATTAATGTTTTTGATGTGTGATACCTCTCTACTAAAAATAGTCGAATTGGAACGATACCTCTTCAAGCCCTCTGATACCGAATATTAGAACCTCATTGCCGATGTCTGATCGGTGTATTATTTCTCGCAAAAACTATATTACAAAACTGTAGCATTTCAAACATTATTAGGATAATAAGTTTGCTACGAAGTTTGTAACATCCAGAAGGAAATGCCAGATACCCTATAAAGTATATGTATAAGTGATCAGCGTGACGATCTTAGTCGATTTAGCCGTTTCGCTTGTATACAGACAGACAGACGATGTCTAGTCCCCAGGTTTTAAGATGTCGGTCGAAATTTTGCACACATAATTTTTTTCCCAAGAAGATGCTCATTAATCGGTACCACCGATATCGGATCACCATAGGATATAGCTGGCATAAAACTGACCGATCAAAATCAAGGCCTTGACATCTTCACGAAATCCGGCATAGATTATTGTTCAAGGCAATAATACAATCTTCGAAGAAAATGTTCAGATCTGACCACTATAGCATATCATATAGCATGCGCTGCCATTTAAACTGATCAATCAAAATCAAAATAAATTTCTTCATATTATATCAAACAGAAAGAATTAGTAAAACGTTTTCTGTTGGATTCAAACCGTTGACCGATAATATTTTCAGCTTTAGTTTTTGTGAAGAGTATTATAAATTCGGTGCAACCAAAATCAATTTTTTTCTTGTATTTATTTTTCTACTTACTGAACACATTCCAGGACATAGTTTCATCTGGTATAATACCAGCACCGCATAAGAATATTCCAAATACTATAAATACGATGCCAATGTGCAACATACCGATGCTGGTAACAACCTAAAAAAGTCCTCTTTTAAATTCACTTATCACTTTTGCAAATACAAGAAATGTATTCCGATAATTTATTTACCTGGCTGTCCAACATGCCTGGTCCAGGCTTAGCAACGCTATGTGCATGATGAAATTTACGTCGAAAGGAACCACTTGGCGAATGAAATGTTTCTCCACTTTCGGAACTCTGCGTACTGTAACGTCTTTCACGTGCACGTTTCTGTTCATCGCGTCGTTTACGTTGGCGTTTTATTGCCATAGCCGAATGGATGCCCACGGAATGCATTTCGCTATGAAGAAAAGGAAGGAAAAAGTAACTAAAACTATTTTTTTTAAGATATTAAACAGCATCATAACTCGAAAATCAAGAATGATAAAGACAAGATCGCAACAAGTAACGCTATTAGCTTTTTATAACTATTGTAAGCAAAGTATTTTCCTCCTTCGGTTAATGAGGTTACAAACTAATGTACTATTTTATCAAACGCACTTTAAGAAAAGAAACAGGGTGAATTTGTCGTAACCTCTATTTTTACCAATATTAACAGTTTAACTTTTGGCCTTGAGCACCTGAGGAGGCTGAGGGATCAAAGTCAATTTGAGAAGGACAACAAAGCATTTGAAAATTTAATGACTTCGCTATATATGGAAACATTGTACCCTAGCACCTCAGTCTTTCTGTTCGAACTCATTTTACTACTACTGGTTTAAACTGAATCATACATATGTACATCAGTCTCTCAAGCTATCTATGTGAAACATTCTTTAATATAAAATTACCCCGAAATTCGGCTGATGTTGTTACGTTGGGTTACTAAATTCAGATAATGTATTCTGTGGCCATCGACATTCAAATCTACAAATACGCGTATATGATTTCTTCCGATCGAATACTGCATGCTATACGAATCATTGTTTAGTAATTTTAATTTTGAAATTATTTAATGAACTTGTTAAACAGATCCAGTTAACATACAAATAAACATTGCATAAAAGTATATACCATCTGATCAAATTTGACTCGGGGTGGTCCATTTAATCTTCGCGAGCGAACCGAATCAATAAAAATTATATTTAGATTGGGGTAACCTTATTTTAAGTTCATGTGTGTTTGTTTATAGCGCAAAAAGTTTTCTACCATGGAAAAATATTGGACAACGAGTTTGCTTGAAATTTTTTGTTTTCAGAAGTGTTTTGTGGAGTCTACTTTATCCCGAACACAAGTATTTGACTGACTTAAAGTAGGGAACGTCGTAAAGTCATGAAAAATTGCTTGAAGCGAGTTGTCCATCCACCTCTGTTAATGACGATAACATCGAAAAAGTTAAAGAAATAGCGCTTGGAAATTGTCAAAAAGATAGCATACGATCTCAACTTCTCGTGTGGATCAACCAAACACATTTCGATTAATGTTTTAGGTATGAAGTATGATAATGATAGACTCGTACCAAAAAACCTAATTCTTTTGCAAAAGCGACGTCGGGCACAGGGGAAAAACCACATCAAAGGCATCAAAAATCAAGGTGATGTTTTTTGCGCCGTGCGCCGTCACATTCTAGTATGACCAAACACGAAACGTAAGTTATGGCTCAGCCACCGCATTTGAAACTGAAAAATCTGCTTCGGAGAGCTCGCCATGATTTAATTGAAGTCATTAAAAGTCATTCCAAACCGCTTATAAGAAGTGTATTGCAGGTGTGATAATAAAGATATGTATTAAAATATATAAACATGTATTTTTGTTAGTCCGTGTCAAATTTGTAGTTGACTTTCTTAGCTACTAAGAAGTGTTTCCCCCTCTATTTTTGATGATACTTAATATACATATATAAGCTCGTGCATTTTTCCTTATTTCGAATGTGATTAAACATTTCTGTTTCTTGGTGGTACCTAAGCAATTTTATTTTATTTTTTACTTGGGTTTTTTTTTTAAGATAACTTAGAATTGGCCGATATATAATATATGTTAAAAAGAGGAGGACGAAAATTAATAAATTATACTTATATATCGGGGCCTCATATATTCAAAAGAAAGAACTGAAATCCTCACATTCAGCGTAAAGGGTCCAGGAGAAAGTAAGGAGCGGGTCTAGCAATTCAATTTTTGGGAAAATTGAAAGAGAACAATATTGGTCGGTGATTCGATACTTATTTCACGAAGAGTACTAGGATGCTGTGTAATTTTTTCCTTCGAAGGGGTTCGTCAAAAATAGGTTTAACGAGTTTAAACGTAGTTATAGGTCGGTTATTGAACAGCTATAACGTAACAATAATTCATAATCTTCCATAATCTTATATTGGCGAACAATCGATTGAAGTTGTACGAAGCTTAGACAGTAGGGATCTTAAAACTACGAGTACGTTAGTCCTCAGTTTTTGAGATATCGAAGTTTTAGAAGAGTATATTCTCACAAGATGCTGCTCGTTTGTCGGAACCGCTGACATCGAACTGCTATAGGATATATTTTCACGATATTTGGCAAAGATTATTGTCTAAGCAAACGTTCCAATCTCCTAATAAATTGTTCAGATCGGATCACTATAGCACATAGCTGTCATACAAACTAAGCGATCAAAATCAAAAAAGTTCTTGTATGAAAAACTTTTTTATTTGTGAAGAGTATTATAGCTTCGGTGTAACCGAAGTTAACGTTTTTTCTTGTTTCCTCCAAAATAAGCCTAATGCAAGTTTCCAGTGCAGTGCAAAAACTAAAACATCTCCGGTTTAAGTTTACCAGTTGCATGTGTGATGTGAAGAAGAAATATGAACTTTTCATTGTTTCCAATGCACTATAAGGCCACCAACTCATTTGCACAGGCACGCACTTATGTACATGCAATATATACACTCGCTATATAGTACATTCCGAAAATGAAAATGTCAACTTTTCAACTTAACAACAAAAACATTATGAATCATTTACCCCCATCCTAGTGCTGCTGTTTAATTCTAAAGTGGACAGCTTGGGTCTTTGTTACGCCAGCGAAATATTATGATCATAACAATACAAGTATACATACATACATGCATATGTGTTTAAATATATGTAAACTACAAACACATTTGTATTATAGAAACTTTGCCAACTCAATCGGATATATGCAGGAGTACGCGTTTGTGTGGCCATGTGTGTTGATGCACAAAATGTCATACTGTTCATTGTCACGCCTGAACGAAACAGTTATAAATACTATATGAACTAGTATATTATATTTAAAACATACATTTTGCTTACCTTAAACTTTAAGTTATCAGCGATTGATTTTAATTTTTCACTTTTGAAAGTTTGCATACACACATACAGTACACCTTAGTTAAGTTTCAGGCCTTAAAGACCATCTTATTTATTTAATTAAACAAAAAATTTTTTCACTTCCGTTAGATTTACTCAAGGCATTCACACAATCAACTAGATTTCCGCATTATGCTGCATATCCTATATTTCATATTTCATTTGTAATTTATAAACATAATCATTCATAACTGGTAACACGATAAAACACACACACACGAGCTGAATAAATGCAGTACTCTGCCACTCCCCGCTTCGCTGGGCTTCAACGTGTCCAAAACGCACTTCCGAGATTTGGCGAGATATCGATTTTGTACAACGTATGATGTTAGGAATTTGAAGTTCACTTCTTACTTTTTTTTAAATTTTTTTCTAATTTTTTCACGTAGCAAATCGTGTATTACTATATTACGATACTTGACTTACGCACTTACAATCTTCCACACTTTTATAGTACAGACTTAATTTATTTTTTTCCCAAACATTTGTATAACTAATATACAATATACATATGTTTGTATATATGTGTGACTGTTTGTATTTACTACGAAAATGATATAGACTTTATGTGTTAAAGTATTTAAAACGTTTAGCACATTTTATAAATGCAATTTAATCTGCGTTTTCTTCTTAATATTTACAACAAAGCAGCAAAACAGTTTCCACTGCTATGAATATGTGTCAAAGCAAGCAACGGCAAATACCAGGTATCCTTCGCGTCGACTAAAACATCGCGTCAGAATGTAAAGCTCAGGATGTGCAAAGCTGCGAGAGACCGTGAGCGGCAGAAAACAAGAGAGTGTGTGAAATTGTAAATAAAGCTTTTCCTGCCTTGACTGAAAAGACAAGTGCGTTGAATCATAGTGGAAATATGCAACAATGACCAAGATTAGTACAATTCAGCATTTAAGCATCATTTACATACACATTTACATTATGTATGTACATATGTATATTTCATAGAAGCCAAGTGTATGGTATCATATATGCATATGGTGTTAAATTATCAAAAACTATGTCAGTTATTAAAATTAATTACAACAAGTCAGGAAGGGCTGAAATCGGGTGAAACCAAACATTTTATACCCTCGCCAAATTTCAAAAATGAAAGCTATGAAAATACTTTCAGGTAAAAGTTTTTATTAAGATAAGTAACAAGTTTCGTGAAGATACCTTGTCAACTAAAAAAGATTTCCTTACAAGGACTTGATATTGATGAATCAGTTTGTATGGCAGCTATATGCTATAGTGGTGCCTTGTACAACACAATAATCCATGTCAAAATTCGTGAAGATATTTCGTCAAAATAAAAGGTTTTCTATACAGAGACATGATTTTAATCGTTCAGTTCGTATGGCAGCTATATGCCATAGTGACCCCTTAACGATGGTTCCATTAAATGAGCAGCTTCTTGAGGATAAAAGGACGTGTGCAAAATT